ACATGTATCACTTCCTACAGCACAAGAATGTTGGGGGTGGCTTCTTCTGACTGGAGTTGGGTTAGACAGTCAATGGGTAGAAAAGCAACACTGCCTCGTCCCGGTCACCATGGTCACCTTCAAAAAACAAAAGCGGATGCCATCATTTCAACACAAGCAAGAGATCCATTCACCAGGCATTCATGAAGTAATGGTAAGCCAGCGTGCAAAGAAAGTGGTGTCCGATACCCCGGGGCTAGTGGATTTTGCTATCGGGCTAGTGAATTCTGTTTTTAACTTGCCCGATGGGCAAGTGATATGTTTTTAGAAATTTGAATAACAGAAGAACTGTAATCAATCCTGCTCATCAAATTCTTTTCGAGCTAATTGAAATGACTTTTGGGCTAGTACATGCTAGCTACAGCTTGCCCGAATGGCAAGCTGTAAAACTGACTTTCTTTGCACCCTGTGGTAAGCAAGTGTAGTAGAGAAACTTTGTTTACACTTAACATTCACCTTGTGCACAATTTATGAAACTCAGCTCGTTCTGAGCAGGAAGCAGGAATATTGCACATCTGTTATAACTACCAAAGACTTTTCTAAATTGACTGTCTTGGTAATTTTTGCCAGTAACACATAGATATACCATAAACGAGCGGTTGGAGAATTGTGCTTCAATTTTCAGAGTTCCAGTCTCTCTCTTTATCAGCTAGCCTGTGTGCAGTACCCCCCCCCTTTCCCTCCCTTCTCCGATTTTTCCTGCAGGGACGGAGGGGGTCTGTATACAGGCTATTTATTAGCATAAAATTGGCTGTGTTGGTGGTTTGGGGGGGTGGCAGGGGGTGTTGTAGCTCAAAACGAAATTTCTTTTAATTTTTTTCACATTTTGTCTTTCAGCCTGCCCTGGTTCCAGATCAGATGGGATCAAGTTGCTACTAAACTATTTACGGCCAAATTCAGTCAAGACTGCCATTTGAACAATAAAATAAACAAATGGGAATTTTTGTGCCATTTTCATCCATAAGAATTACTTTGTACAGTATAACTTTCAGCCAGGATTGAATTAATTGAACCACAGGGTTAGTTAAGTTTGACAATGCTACATGCAAGTACTGTAATTGTCAACGTAATAGAGTTTGCTGGAACGATGAGGAAAAAGGGAAACTCTTATCAGGAATAACACAAAAAGTTGTGCCATTTTCTCGTCTTGTGGGGATTAACTGATCCACTGGGATCGATATAGTATTAAGTTTGACACTAACTTGCCTTTTCAATAAAGTGACCATATTGGAAAATAATAATAATCAAAGAACGGTTTACTATTGCAGCCCCCTTTTCCTTAACACCTCTCCTTACAAAATATACAGTATACAGTACATGGATCTCCAATAAATTTATGTATTATAACAAGTGCTGTAT